TCTTGTGTTTTCTTTGTGTGTATTTGAAGGAAGTGCGTTTCAGATAAGATCAGACAGGTAAAAGGACTAGGATGATTTAATGGAATGTCGTCAAAACATGATGATAGACTACAGAAACTAAGACATGTATATCACAGCTTGAAACTCCCTCTCACAGAGCAGCCAGGTGGCCACTTTCATATTCACATTATCTGTTAACCGTTTAAGATGTTTCATGAAAAGTTGAGGAAGTTAAAAAAGTTCGAAAAATCACATAGGAAATCCCACTAGACTGCCCTCTTCTTCTTGAGGAAGCCCTGCTCGTCAAATTCGTTGCCCTCGCGCTCGTTCTCCTTCAGGGACTCGAGGATGTCGGCGGGGATTGGGGGAGGGGTGGGCAGGTGGGCGCCGGAGGCACGGAAACCTTCGTCATCGGCCACGTAGCTCAGGCTGTAGTAGACGCCGTCGGGGCCGGGGTAGGAGAAGCTGCCCTGCTTGGCGGTGGACTCGGAGTCGGTGCCGGCGCGGACCACGGTACCGTCCTCGTTCGCCTGGATGCCGTTCTCTGTCTCGAAGCTGAAGCTGTAGTAGCCGGCGGGGTCCTGCTGCTGCGAGTACTTCAGGATCTGGATGACGGGGGCGGGCTGCTGCTGCTGCGGCCGGGCGTGGACGGCCACCGCCACGAGGAGGACTGAGGCGATCTGAAAGCGGAAGGAGTGAGTTGCATTAGTATGGGGAAGAGTAGCGTGCTAAATCCAGTGCCGCGGCTGCGGCGGGTGCCGCACCAGGAGCTTCATGGTGCTGCTGCTAGCTGCTCTGCTGCTCTGCTGTTGTGCTGTGGAGGAGGAGGCTGTGGGCTGTGATGACACACTGACCGATGCGTCGGTTTTATACGTCCTGCTACCAGGGACACACGCCGAGCGGAGGTCCTGTGGGAGGGGAGGAGAGGGGGGGGGGGTCCAAAAACAGAGGAGCCGGACCGAGGAGCGTCGCCCGCGGTTAGGCGTCCACACCTTCGGAGCGGGCCCAGGGCGCAGGGCCCAGACGCCGGTGCAACACCTGACGCCTTATCGCGCGGAGAACGGCTCGGCTGTCGTGTCATCCCGCAGCCGGGACCACACGATGCGAATGAGGAAACCATTTATTTGATCAGTTGCTACTACTGCCATATCTCAAGTTTGCAACTAACAAGCTGACTTGGGTGTAAATTCCCGATTTTGATTTTCTTTTCGTTTAGCCATCCACACATACACAAGTGTGTGGAAATTCTGTAGCACACTCGAATTTCCAGTGCAACTTCTAAACGTCTTCCATTATACGCTCCCCTGAAGTACCCCCCGCGATAAGTAACTCAGCACAAATTTGACCCGCACTTGTCACCTACATGGAAGCAAATATATCGAGTTTGAAGAAAGTCGAGACTTTTGCTCCTACTTAATTCTTCTTGTAGTTTGACAAATCAGGTGGCTGACTTACGCCTCGCATTTTCGTGGTTAAATTATACTGTACCAACTGTTTCGCATGAATACGGGTGCGGGCGGGTTTGCCTATGCTCGCTTCCTACAGCTCCTTATAGCTCCGTGCCAATAGGCAACCCGCCCACATGCGTGCGTGCGGTAAAGTATAACTACGAAAGTGCGCGGGGTAAATCAGCCACCTGGCACATACGGGCATTTCATATACTAGATATTGGGGACTGTACGCACCGGTGGCAGAGTCACCACGCCCACTTTGGTGGTTATGCTGTACTGCATGCACGCGTGCGGGCGTTTTGCCTACTTGTACGGGGGACTGAAGGGGCTATGGGCACCGCCAATATCGGATACGTCAGGAAAACTCGATCTCGCATATTTTTGGTGCGGTTGTAGGACGTGGACGACGCACCGGTGGGTAGATGCCTATGAGGGCAGCTATAAAACTAGAGCTAACCTCGTTCTAAATACAACAGTTTCAGGGGTATAGATCTAGTCGACGTTTTCCTCGACGTTTTCATTTGGAAACTAGGTTTTGTGCCTGCTGGCGCCTGCTGGCTCGGATAGGCTGATGAAAAATGTCTCGTTATCAGGTTTTTGATCGGTGTATATTTTCCCGCTATATTTTTGGAGCTATCGCCTTGCCCTTTGTACTCCCAAAACAGCAGGTCGAGGTGCTTGAAATCCGAAGTTAAGTGCCTTTTCTTGATAAAATTGCACTCGAATAAACTGAGTGCATGCACTTGTTTCAAGAAAATGCACTTGATTTCAACTGCGCACTCTTTTGGGTGTACCGAATTACCGAATTTGGAGTGTTTGGCCTGGTAGATGATATCTCAATTCTAAGGAAAATACCCAAGTTTTTACAAAATTTTCAAACCCAAACTCT